CAGAAGGTGGGGAGCAGCTGACTGCCTTTCCCACAGCACAGTGAATATCATCTTTGGGTMATTTTAAAAAAGGGCCAGGAGGGACCAACAGGCCAGTGCCATAGTCCCCATAGTGCCAGGCTCACATGCTGCATGATGGCTGGAAGGCTTCTGGGTACTGGTCCTTGACACATGTCCTCCTGCTGGTCCCYGGAGCAAACAGGTTCAACTCCACTGAACAATCCCCTCCAGGCGATCCTCCAAACCTGTACCTTTCTAAATTCCTACAGAGAAAATGCCAAAGCAGCAGTTGTCCCACATTTGAACAGGCTGCAAGTTTCTTTGTTTTCATTACAAATTCCAATCCTGATGCCTTTTTATTTTTTTTTAGCCATTTCTGCTCTGCCCCCCGGAGGTGCTGCTGTGATTGAATGAAACACGACCCCAGGCTCCAATAAGTGTATTTCAATTACATCTGTCACCATGTAACAATGTAATGATATATCATGTGATATTAAATCCATGGTAATCATATCAGCGATTTTTTTAATAGTGCACTAATCACATTATTACATCTCAATAATTAACAACAGAAGGCCTAAAAATCTTGGATACAAACTAGAAAGCTCAGAGGGTCTGCAGCTCCTGCCTGGGAGAGCCCTAAAGAAGAGCAGGATGGCAATTTGCTGCCAGGTGGTCATGGCACAAGGAGCAAGGGCACGAGTTTGGCACTGGCATTGCCATACAGAGCATCCAGGTAAGACCAGATTCTTTCACAGTCCCAGGCTAAAGGAGAAGCAAGTATTTTGGAGCTGGAAGAGACACTTGTACATCCCATCTCGCCCAGCATTGCTCCCTTCTCTTCTGCTGCTCCTGCACTGCCACTTTTCCTCCAGCAAACCAGCTCCTGCTCTGGTAAGTGCCTTGTGAAGGTGTCATCCTGAGGYAGACAATGGTGCCCCACTGCAGAGGAAAGGGCAGTGTTTTGAAAAGGAAGGATGATCCTATCTACACATCCTTACCAGGCTGCTGGAAAAATGGCATCATTTTCCTTCTCCCCTTGTACCAGCTTGAGATGTGATTGAGAGAACCCCACCTCACAGAGTCTCTGGAAGGCTTGAAGTCATGGTGATTTTTTAAGCAAAAAGAATCTGTCAGCTTCAAACTGAAAACTGGTGAGAGTCCTTTGGAGGGACAGTGGTCCTCTGTCCTCACCACCTCCACYCAAGCTCTCGCCTCCATGGCTGGAACTGGGGCTGGGGTCCAAAGCACTGACTGACATACACATCCTCTGGTGGGGAAAGGAGTCACCCAGTTTTGTGTGAGCAGGCTGCTTCCCCCAGCTCTAAGSTGTATTTTCCTCCTTGCAGGATGAGGGCGAAGGCAGCAGGGAGCGGCAGGYGGCAGCTGGTGCAGAGTGCCAGAACGTGGGGAGTCCCGTGCCGCACCGTCCCCGGCTGTGACAGAGCTTTCTTCCAGTCACAGCCTGGTCAATCTAGCAGTTTCCACATCACAAGCTGATCTGAAGAGAGCCTCATTACCTTCCTTAAAGTTCCAGCCAAGCACTTATCTCTTAAAGACAGGATTTAAGAAATATTTGACTGATCATTTCTCTCTTCATTTAGTTTGGCTGCTCTGAACCAATTCAACCTGTGAAGTTGAAATAGTGAGAACAGGAGGAAAAGTGTGAGCAGTCACACCACACACAATGTCCCAGCTCCCCTGCCAGCTCTTCCCAAAGGGACACATCCTGGCTCAGCCTGATTGACACAGCCTCTCCTGTGCCAGGAGTGGCCATGGAGCATTTCCCAACACTAAAGGGGAGACATCTCTTCCTCTCYACCCTCAATGGGATAGGCTTTTGGGGGATCATTAAATCCCTGGCATCCAGACTGTACCCTTATGCATGCTTGGAAATGCCAAGTGTATCAATCCCAGACCTGGGAGAAAAGGATGGAGAGAGGGATGAGCCAGGATTGACAGCACCACCATCCCCACATCTTCAACTGACCCAGGACAGGATATTTCTGTGTTCTTCATCTCCTTGTAWGCCTTCCTGCTATCCCACTTTACAGCTCCACTGTGCCCACAGCCATGCCACACAGCAGCAAAGGTGTCACACACCCRTCAGTGCCCTACTCTCTCCCCATGGGGACCAGAGCCTGCAGAGGGGCTGGTGGGAAGGTCACAGAGAGGTGAAGGGGCTTCCAGGGCCAAGTGGGAGTTGCAGCATCAAACAAAGAGGCCCTGCCAGTCATTTAGGGGTGATTCTGCCAAGGGCAGGCAAGACAAATGGACAGACACCTCGCTGGCCAAGGCAGCGCAGTTGGACTTTCCTTCCCTCATCTCTCTTCTWTTTTTTTTCTTTTAATTTTGTCTTGGAAGCCACGATCCTTTAAAGATGTGCACGTCTCATTAGCTCTACCTTGACAATCATTACCGTTCCTGCCAAGGCAGGAGCAGAGCTCAGCCCAAGCACAAGTCCATTACCTTGTAGTTAAAGGGACATGGAAAAYCCTGGGCTGCCTGGTGGTCTGACTCCCCCTTGGAAGTGGGATTGCTCCTGCACACTGCTGTTCCCCCTCCTCTATTGAGCAATAACCCCCAGTTTGACCCAGGCAAGATGCAAACCTTGCAGTGACGGGTGGTCCTGCAACCACCACCAGGCACTTGCTGCTCCCTTGGACAGGGGTGTGTAGGGCCAAGTCCATGCTGCAGCCTCTGCGGGGAGGGGCACTGAAGAACCCAGACCTTTCCCAAACATTGCATGTGGTCTTTACATAACCACATCTCACTACAGCAAATGCATGCTCTTGGGTGGAACCACAAAACCCGAGCCCAGCCATGACCAAGCAGCGAGCCCAAAATGTCCATGGAGGTCACATAGAGGCTGGAGTAAGGACTCCCATGGAGGACCCTGGGACAAGGACACAGTCCCCACATATCAATGCCTGGTGGGAAACCTCAGTGAGCTCTGTCCTTGCTTCAAAATGCAAAATGAGTCTGTCCCTAGCTTTTCTGCCTCTGCAGKGTGCAGTGTGGGCCACCTCATACCCAGAGGTGGGGATGAGGAAGGCTTCAAGTGGGTGAGCATACAGTGATAGGTGATCCCAGGAAAGAACCCTACTGATTAAAGATGCTGTCCAGAGTGCTGTTTTGGTTCATAGCTGGGCCCGTGGCTGCTYCCAGAGCCTGCTTTGCTCCACCCCAAGGCTGAAAACAGGGAACTCGGCTCATGTTATGAAAGGGGAGGACCCCTCCCTCAGGAGATCTCAGGGCAAAGACCCCCAAAGCAACTTCTGATGACATACCCCCTGCTTTCTTCYAGCTCCACAAGGGCTTTGAAGCCGGGTGCAGTCCTCGGGAGGTAAACACTGCAGGGTGCAGCCCTACAGAGATGCTCCTRCTTCTTTGTGCCTTGCAGGATGGGAGCTCTGCTGCAGCCACACTAACTCCTCACTGCTCTCCACAAAGCCACGGCAAGAGACAATAACGGACGGCCACGGCTCCGAGCCACACTCCAAGAAGGATCCTACCTCCACACAAGGCTGTCCAAGAACTTGAMAGGACTCTGTTTGAAAAAGATGTTGAAAGAAATGATCTCTTTAAGTGCAATGGGAGATATTTGTCTCTGATTTACCCTTGGCTTTTTGCTCTGGTTCAGGTAGGAGCGGTGTGGGATGGCTGGCAGATCTGAGAGCATGGCACGCCCCAGCGGGCAAAGCGAGCAGTGCGGAGGAAGGCGCGAGTCAGTTTGGAGTGCTCCCCATTTATCAAACTCACGCAGCCCGCCAGCAGAGCGAGTCTTTCCATCATTACAGCTCTCAAAATCCGATTCATACCACTAATCCTGCCTTCATTCTCCCAGATTAATAACATCTCTTTCAACCTTCACAGTGTGATAAATAGACAAAGAGAGAACAAAAGGAGAAACAGAAGTGAGAGAAAGAGCCAGAGCAACTCCACATAATAAAGAGAACCAAGAAAGGGGAAAGGAAAAAAAAAGGGAAAAGAAAAGGGAAAGAAAGGAGCCGGCACACTTGACTCTGCCATTTACTTTAGCAGATTCTCCCCAAGAGCACCCTGCGATCCTTAAAGAATGTAAAACATTGCTCAAAGGAAAGGCTCGTTAGCAACCCTGACCAGCCCAGGTTTGCTGGAAATCTTTTCACTTCCAACCTCCGATCAGGTCAGCACTGAAAATGAGTTTGTTGGTTTCTTGTCCTGCTCCTCCCCAGACTCCCACAGAGGCAAAGCCTCCAACACAAGCGCTCTCCTTTACTTAAGGCACCAGCTTCTCGAAGAGGAACAGGAGGCCTTGGATGGTGTCTGCTCCAGGGCTGTCCCAGCAGCTCAGCAAGCCCCAAACAGGCTGGCAGAACACCAATTGTCTGACACAACAAGGGCTGTCCCAGAAGCCAGGGACCACGCACCGAATTTGGGATGGGGATGAAGACCAAAACCATGATGACAGGAGCAGAGCAGATGTGGAGCCCCATGCCTTCAGTCTGGCTGGAGGGCCAGAGGAAAGGAGAAAGCTGCATGAACAGTGCAGAACTGCAGGGGGGTGTCCCAAGCCCCAGCTCCCTGGGCTCACTTCTCTGTCCCCACCTTGTCCCCTGGGAGGGAGCTCCTATCCCTGCCTGTGTGGCACAGCCCAAAACCACATTGGGGCCACTGGAGTCCCGATGATCATTGTGGAGCTGCAGTCCCCCTGCATGCTCATGGAGCCATGCCTGCTCCAAGCAAGGGAGTGGCACTCACAGGTACCCCATCCCCAGCATTCCTCTACTCTTACTTGCTCAGAATCAACTGAGCCCCTGGAAATGCTGATCCTACAGCCCAGGACCCCAGAAAGCCCACCCCACCGGCCCTGAGGCACATGGATGGAGACATTTAGCTATTTACCACCCATGGCCTTCACCAGAGCTGTGCTGTTCAGCTCTTCCACTCGGCCACGCTGTATTGAACACTCCATACACTCTCCAAGTTATTTTAATAATTAAATGTTTATTGGCACATTTTTCCCATACTGCTTCCACATTTGCCTGATTTTCTTTCCAGTGAGCGACTTCCCTTGGTTCAGTTCTTCTATAGGATGCACACCTGCAAAACATTTCCTCTGCTTTCCCCCCTAAGGATCATCCATCCCCCTCGCAGCCCATCCCTGCRGACTCCGGGCAGGTGCTGTGCATACTGAACACCACCATGCCGAGCCCAGATGAACAGCTCAGGCAGAGCTCTGGATTTCTGGCCACGATGGTACTCTATAATGGCACTCTCAGCCCCCGTGCAGAGACTGGGCTAGGTTGTTTTTTTTTCTCTCTTCTTTTATACTGTTCCATATTACTCCGGGCTTTGAAGTACAGAGAAAAGCAACACTCAATGTGCCTTTTTTTTTTTTTTCTCCTTAAACCTACCTTTATCATAGCAAATCTTTTCCTTCTCYGCTGTGTCGCTGGAGATAGATATCAAGCAAAAAAAATGTCTCCCCTTCTAACAATGGGTTTCCCTTCCCTTCTGAACTTCAAATAGAAAACTCTTATCTACAGSCACAGTTGACCAGAAGAAGAAAAGAAATGAAAACAGACATATGAACTGAACCCGGGCTCTCTTTCTATTCACTCAGAAAAGCTGTGCTGGGTTCTTCACACAGAGATGCTCTAATGTGTTTATAGCAAGTATTTACTCACTTCACTAGCTACCCACCCACCATGGAAACCCACCTTTCCTCAAGAACAATTCTTCTCTGCTCCATGTACCCTTTTCAGTCTCTTCTTTGCCTAGCAAATTCTATGCACTTGGGCCATCCAGCACAACAAAGCCTACACCTAAAGCTGGWGACAGCAAGAGCTCTTCAGACTCAGCTAAGAGTAACTGCAGCGATGCCCCTGGCACACAGAAGGCATCACTTGTGTATAGTAGAAGCTCTTTAAGTGACAGGATGGATCACAGGTCAGACCTTGCTGGCTGTACTTGCATAAGATGCCTTGCACAGACTGAGACCAGGCTGTTTCAGCCACCCATGACCTACTCACACCTCTGTGCAGCACCCATGTGGCACTACTGGTGCCAGMCAGTTCCTCTGTGTTTTTTATCTCCCTTTGAACAATCTTCTTGCCTGTGATGCAGCTGCTACAAGGAAAAACATATAGAACCAGAGAATTTCTTTTCCATCCCTACTTTGGACCCTGGGTGCAGACCTCTCCTGTCCTGGCTTTCCTCCCCTTCAGCAGCTTGGGATACCTTGGGAGAGGCACTGCCAGGTCCCTAGCTGGGTTGAAAAACCACATACTGGGACTACTGAGGTCCAGATGTTGTCAAACAACCTTGCTCTCTGCCCAGTAAATAGAAGTTAAAATGTGAGCACTGTGCTTGACAGAAACCATTTCTCCCAAAGTCACAGTGCCAGGACCAATACCCATAGCATGAAACACAGCGAGGCTCCACTGCTTTCCCCACTCTCAGTGTGTCCTGCTGGGCCACACGTGCTTCTTGAACCATTCCTGCTTTCAGCCTTGACAACCTTGTTACACAAGCCTTGGGGAACAGGGCCTTACAGCCCTGGAACACCTCCTGGCTACAGCCACAGAGCTCCTGTTYCTTCTTACCCTCTCAAACCCACCCTCAGCTCAGTCATGAATTYATTTACAAGAGACTGCTGGACAGACAAACTGTCCTCCCCACACATGGCACCATGGGCTCTGCCACCAGAGATGAACACATCTACTGCCACATGCTGTCCCCCAGTCTGCCAGGGGAACCACAGTAAAGACATTTGTTGCTGGAACTGGAGTCAAATTCCCAAATCAAATGGGGCAGAGGGCGGAAACTTTCCAGATAATTTTCCATTAGAAATAAGAAGTTTCCTTCATCAAAAGCCAGATCTCATTCTCCTCAGGGGAATTTGGAGCTTCTKGCCAAAGGGAGGATGAGCTCCCACCTGAGACATGGGCAGGAATCCTCTGCAGTCACACTTGGTAACAATGTCCACATCCAAGCTCTGACTCATTTGGACTTGGAGATAGTTCTGGTAACTCTACCTGGCTCGAAGAAGCCCTCAGCCAGGAGAGCCCATCCTGTGGYCCCAGCAGCCCAGCAGGCTCTACTGCGGTACCCCACAGAGCTTCCCAGGCAGCAGCATTATTCCCTTCATGTTAAACTCCACWAGAGTCCCTAGTCCTCTTCCTGTGGGGCAGTCTTGGTGTTGCAGAAGGCTCCTCCCTATGGAGCTACAATGGGAAGATCCATCAGACAAAGCACCTTCTTTTCAAGCTGCCTGATGACAGATGTTCAGCCAAYGGAGCAGCGGGATTGGCAGAGCACCGCAGAAGCGCTTTATAATTCCTGCTCCTCACCTCCTTCCTCWGCGTCTCCTGGGAGAGCCACGATGATGAACGGTGACATAACTGACTGTTCCCAATCAAGGTAATGTAAGTAATGACAGCTGACGTGATTCCTGGAACGTGCAGGCGCTACTGGCCCACGTGCCTTGCCTACCACAGGCAGCACCGCCAGAGCTCGTGGAGGGASAGGAGAGCGGAGCATGCAAGTCTGGCTGGGGGACAGGGGAGAGAGAATCCCAGGACACAGATGCTGYCTCCAAACCAGCTGCAAATAACTCATTACATCAGTCTGCAAACACAGCAGGAGCCAAAGGGCGACAGATAGTGCCTTATGTTATGGATCAAACCCCTGCTGGGCTGTGTACAATACCTGCCCCACACCTGGACACCCATCAGATGACACCTAAGACTGTAGCACCCCTAGTCCTTAGGAGGTGGCTTGTGGGGATCTTGTTTGATCCCTCAAGGTTCAGCAAGCTTTTATTGTTCTGGCCCTGCCCCTGCTCCCCCCACCATCAGTGACTATCTGGAAACAGGAACATTAAGTCAATAACCTGGACCTCACCTCCCCATGCAGCTGGTGCACAAGCAGCAATATCTCATCTGAACTCAAGGCAAGGGGGTGCAGCAGCCCCAGACTGCACACATGGGTGTTCAGAGACTCACAGCAGGGAAGAAAACWCTGCAATCTCATACCCGCAGTCCCCTTCCAGAGCCTTGAAATTAGTAGGCAAATTTAACATGCAGAGAAACGACCGATTAATAACCCAGCATTGACTTAAGAAGACCTTGAATAATACATAGTGCTTGTACACGGAAGGGGAAAAAATCAAGTCCTTGTGCCTGTCAAGTGTATCTGCCTCCCAAGCACCGATACTTGATGAGAAACCTCCCTTCCTGCCAGCCACAGTTCTAAGCAGCTCTTTAGAAATGCCTTTTGTTAAGATGAATGGCAAAACTTTGTGCCCAGTTAGACTGGCACTTGGACAGACCAAAGTATGGTGTTATTTTAAATGTAATTAGTACTGCCAGTTWATAAAGTCCCTTTACTCCTGCCAAGCAGAGGATGACGTTGAGCATTTGGAGCCTTAACCATGAGGCTGTCCCAGCCTCTCCTCCAGCCTATCTGCAATGCAATCCTCCCAGCAGCTTGGCCATGTCAAGGAAAAGTCAGATGCAAATAGACAAAAGGCTGGCAGAAGCTCAGCTGCAGGTGCTGGGCTCCACCACACCATAATGACAGCAGATGAAGCTATGAATGAACTATTTCCTTCTGCAGCTTGATTCCAGTTTCTGCTGTTTAATGCTGGTTTTGGTGTGAGACACTGAGCAGTGGTATCAGTATCCCTGTGTGGTGCTATCTATTTCCCTTAAAAAAGATGGCTGGAGAAAAATTTGCTCCCTTTTGAGAATATTTCAAACCAGATCTAGCTAAAAAATGTTGTTTACCTGGACAACAGCCATTTTTGTCTAGGGGCTACATACAAAATGACCATTGTAAGAGGGGTGGAATGCTGTAGAGAGCAGGTATTTGTGTAGCACGAGTGAAGTACTGTGTATCTCAAAGGTTTTAATTTTTGAGATGGGGAGAAAAACTGAACAGAAGCTCAGGCAGAGGTTTCCAGCAACTAGTCATTCTGACTCTTGTAGCTGAATGACCCTCCTGTGCGGCCAGCCCACAAGGAGGCTGCATGGATTTAATGCCTGCAAAGAAATTTGAAAGTGAAAAGCCTTGTGGATGAAGTCCAGAGGCAGGGAAGGAAATGAGACCTAATTTCTGTTTCAATCTCTGATATGGATTCACAGGAAAAGCATCCAATCCTCCATGCTTCAGTATCCCCACAATAACACCTATTGAGTGGTATRAGCCTAAATTCATTCATGTCTTTAAAGAGCTTTAACATCTACTGCCTGAAAACCAAAGGACTATCACTACGCAAAACATGAGCTGTGTACAACACAGAGTTGGAAGGCATTTAAAAAAGGAGCCACCCAGTGCAAAACACACGGGGAAAAAAGTGAGCARGAAACAAGATTTGCCTTCTTCAGATGTAAATGAGTGCCAGCTAGCAGCAGAGCTCCAAAGACACCCATTTAGCACCAAAAAGAGTTTCCACAAAGGGACCCAAGAAGAAAATGCAATAAACAGGCTCAATTCTCAGAGTTTGATTTCCAGAGCAATAAGCACAGAAACTGAGCCCAAAAGAAAAGATCTGTATTAGACTCCAAATCCAATCATTCTGATAATAAAGAAAARACATCTGAACTGGTGCAGAACTATTTCCAGAGAGAAGTTTGTCTCCCCATCCCTTTAACATCCTGCAGTGGCTCAATGGAAAAATACTTAAGAAGTTGCAAGTTTGGTCATAATGTGTAAAAAGCCCCTGAAATGCGACATCATTTACTCTTCTGTGGTATTGCTCAGCAGAGCTAATAAATCTTGCATGAGCAGAGCTGATTCTAATTTTCTAATATGAAAAGGCATTTGGATTGAGAGAGAGGGGAAGATAAAAGTGATTGAATCTCCAATAGCCCAGTGTCAGTGACAAGAAACATCCTGCTACGGACCCCAAGGAAGAATGGCTCCCCCTCCTCCCCRAAGCACAGGCACACTCACCCGCTCGCACATCCAATTCTCCCTGCTTTCTGCTCGCCACGTCTCAGTCTCCCCTATTGACAGGACGTGGTTTTAAACACAGTTACACAAGTTATCATTTCTGCCTTTTGATCAATCTGAATTTTCAGGACAATTACCCTCTTAATCAATGATTGCTATCAGCAGCCCCTTGGATTCTTCACCAAGGCAATCGTGCCGCCGGGGCAGACAGCGTGTGCATATGCAATGAAGCTGCGGGGAGGCACAAGTCCATCTTCCCCTGACGTAGTCGTCGGCTGAAAGGGTGGAGAGCTGTGAAGGCCACTTCAAGGAACACCTGACGTAAAAAATAAGCGGAGGGAATTAAAAGGGACGTTGTGTGAGGTTATCTGTGGCACAGCTGGGCTGGGGGGATCAGGGACCTGCTGAACATAACATCGAGTTGAAAAACAAGCCAACTAACCCAACAGATTTAGCATCCACCGAAACCATATATTTAAGAGCTATCTATAGCCAGCACTAACCACTCCTAATGAGGCCAATAAAGCCAGTTTCCAATTAGAGACTGAAACACTAGAAGAAGGAAAGGCAGAGAGGCAGCTTTAAAAAAATCTCTGAAGATGTGGGATTTGGATATGAGGGTTTCTTTTTTTTTTTTTTTTTTTCA